TCCTAGTAGTAAGGCCAGGAGCCCCTAGTAGCGTCCTTGTTCCTAGTGCGAAAATTGACTGACTTGGAAAGTGTGAAGATTTCCTTGCGGCGGACGCGAAAAGCGAAGGTCTTCTCTTCGACTCGAAAAGTCTTGAGAAGCTCGAGCAGCCCGGAGCCCGGTCTTTGACGTCAGATTTGGGTTCTGGAGGGTACTCCCCTGGTGAACTCATGCCAAACGCGAGCAGAATGGTTTAGGTGTGGATATGGTTCTGGGTGAGTAAGGTGGTGGGTGTTGATATTATACACCCGGATGTAGGGAGCAACACTCGATCTGGGTCTCTTTGTTGGGTGGGCGGGCAGTAACTCAACGCAACCAACACGGCTTCGTTCTTGTACAGAGACCAGAGGCAGTTCTTGACTCACAAAGAAAAACAACGAATGCAACCTAGAACCTGAACCGTTCAACCCTCTCATGTGATTTGTGTCCGTGATTTCCTCACGTCAGAGTCAGCCACATGGTCCCAGAGACGACTTCGACGTCGGTACGCCGGTACCCGTAGCGGTCCCGTTTTGTTCCGGTGGGGAAAACCCGTAGCGGTCCCTTTTGGTGTGTTTTTTTTCGAAAGAATGGGACGGTTTCCGCATCAATCAGAGCTCAATGAATGGTTATCTCCAGTGGAAAGGCTCTCAGTTCTACGAGCAAAATCCAGTGAGAACGAGCGGAGAATGGGGGGGTTCACTCGATTTAACGTGACGAACGAAGCAACGTTGGGACGCCGGTGGGATGCCGAGCCTCTGGTCGAACCGGTGCAGTCAGGCAGTTGGACTGGATGGGACATCCGACAGCGAAAGAGAAGGGATTAGTAGTAACAAGTGCCTTTCTAGTTTCTAACAAGAAGCTATTAGCTAATTTTAGTTAATGTTAATTCCCAATAGCTTCTTGTTACTACTAGTAAGGCACCTGTTACTAGTAGCGATGCACTTGTTCCTAGTAACGTCTAAGTTTACCACCCAGTTGGCATGTCCAGTCTCGTCCCGTCCAGTCCCGGAGGCGGGTCGTGACCGCGCCGGACGCACGCCGCTGTGGCTCGAAGTCTGACCTTATCGACCTTACCCCTAAGATCTTCCCGATCCACTTCCTCATTGTCGCTTGGTTGCTGACAGACCAAGAAGATGTGTCGGACTGTGTGGGAAGAGAGGATGAGTGTCACAGAACTCTGTGAGGAGAAGGGAAAAGATTGAGAGATAGTGAAAAGAATTCTTAGGTTGGAGGCCACTACTAGTAGGTTTACTTGAAAGCCATATCAATTGAAAACGGTTTTTGTCCTCCAGTGAGCGGGCCAGCTCGTTCACTCCAAAACTGATATTTCATCCTGCTGGCGTTGTTTCCAACGACTTGGAACACAACAGGATGAAGCGCTAGGTACGCATCGGCAGCATCCACCTCAGCTTTTCGGAGCATGATTTGTTCGTTCGGTGTTTGGTTCAAACTCGCACAGCCTGGGAGTATCCAGATTCAGGGGGTGACACATCTCCGATAGCCTGAAGAGTTTCTCAGTCAGAGGCATATCCGATGTTGAGTTCCTCTGCTCAGGGTGATCTGACAAGTGGCCAGATTTCTGACCTGCTATCAAAATGAGTTTGTCGATGTCACTCTCTCCAACGAATACTTGGGAGCTTTCGTTTTTCCAGCAAGCTGGAATTTGGGGTCGGAAGAAACCGAACGTGCTCGCGGAAGCGGTGGTCAAGTCCTCGCAGAGCGATATAAAGCAGACCAAGGGGTGCGGCCGTTTTCCTGTGGGAGGGTCGATCCATTTTTTCAGATGGACTATGCCTGATGACCCCCAATCCATGGTTCCTTGTTCTGCATTGAGCCGGCCGCTCCGTTTTCCGCGAGGTCTGCATTCGCGTCCGTGCGACGCGGGGCGGCCCGCAGCGTTCCACGTGAGGCGGAGCGGCGGAGCGATGGCCTACCGCCTCGTCTTGTTGACCCTTCCAATCTGGCAGGCAAGGACGCTATTAGTAACAAGTGCATCGCTAGTAGTAACAAGTGCCTTACTAGTAGTAACAAG